AATAGTGTCTCAGTAGCAGACATGAGTCAAAAAAATGAACACACCCCACAATGATAACAATGAACTTATTTCCCTCTCATGGAACACTGGAAACATGAAAGTTCACTTTTTCCATCTCCCCCACTGGGATAGGGAAGAGGAATAAAAGCCACCGTCAAGGACAAAGGCCATGTGACAGACATGACTGATTTCACGAGGCTGGAAGACAAAGCTTTGGAGGGATGACAGGGTACCACCCTCAGACATCCATTTTGGTGGGCGCCATCAAGTCAGACGGAATAGTACCATCCAGCTGAGGAGTCAGAACTTGGCAATGCAAATGGTAACAATCTCCTCTGAAGCTCGAGGCAAAAGGCCAGCACAATTTTCCTGCTGCTCATGGCCACCAGTGACCATCCCCTACACCCTAAGGGTCTCTTCTACACATTAAGATGCCACTTGACAAAAATCAGTTCTAAAAATAAAATACAAACAGAAAAGAAACAAGTTATTCCACAATCCTTCCTGATTACTCATCTGCAAACTCTAACAGAGCCAAAGAGTTTTGCCCAAATCACCAGGAAGAGAAATGCTGAGAACTAACCCACTTGGGTTTGATTAGGATCTCAGACCCTTGGGTCTTTCTGGAAATTGAATTAAGTGTTATCTGTTGACTGTGTTAATTTTGGGGGGAGATTTGTTTCTACAGTAAAGTTTAGCTTTGAGAAACAAGAGACTTCAAATATTATATATCCAACTATATATATATATAAAATAACACTGTAACCAGAACAATAAATATATAACCTTATACATATTTGGGAGGAGGGTAATTAGCTGTGTAAATCAGGGGTCGTAAACTGGTGGCCCCAGGCTTAATTTAATGTTTTATTTGGTCAATACGGAGTTTTGGACATCTTAAAATTACTTGTTTAGTAAACTTGCCTTTTAGACAACAACAACGACAACAAAAACCCTAAGTTACTCGTTCCCACTCCCTCTTCTCTTTGGATCTGGGCCTGACATTACAGCCCAGCAAAATAGGCTAGACCCAGTAATTTGGCCCCTTTAAGGTGGGCACAATCCCCGTCCCCCTATTAACTGCCCTACCTTATTTCTGCAGAGTACTGAATTTGTAAGCCTGGGTTTGAAATGGCACATACCTAAAAACTTATTTCCTACCCCAAACTTCTCTCACACCCTCCTACAACACTCATCCTATCTCCCATTCCCCATTCTTTCCCTTCGCTTCCATCTTAGAACCTCCTTCCTAAAGTCTTCAAATGTCTTTGGTTCCTCACATTTCCCTTCTTTTCAACTTCAGTTTCATTTAAAAAAAAAGAAAAAAAATCTCCTTCTCCCAACCCACTAACATTCCAGGATGGTTCCCAAAAATGGCCAGTGGGAGTAACTAACGGATGTTTCAGAGCAAAATGGCAAATGGCTGATTCATCTTTCCCCAAACATTTTCTTTGGGGCTAGCTAGCTAGAAAATTAATCCCTTTTTTTTTTTTTGGTTGTATGAACAATGTTAAGCCTTCCTGTCTGAGGATATTTGCAGATATGAATCTCCAGTACCACGTATACACCAAAAATGTGTACATTTTAAGTGAAGATTGAACAGAGTCCTAGTAAAAGAACTATGCTTCCTTTAAGAGCTTTGGACAACGGTCACACCTGGCAAATGTGCCATATTATTTGTACACAGTACATGTTTTGGATGACTAAACATTGATCAAAATTGATCTAAATCTCTACATTTGGGTTGCCACAGAAAACAATTGCTCAGTGTGGCATTTAAATAAAGCATCAATATCCCAAAAATTCACCAATACAATACCCCATTCATTAAAAAATTAAAACATGAAAAACCTTGAGGATGAATAAGGCTTTGGCAAATAACCCTGAAAATAAAAAGCTTCAAGAACAGCATGTGTCTTCAGACATGTGCTTCAAAATACTATCAAGAGAAAAAAGAAATCCAGTCAGCCAATGAAAAGATACTTGGAAAATTCACCTTTTAAATTTAATAAACCCTCTGAGATTATGACTTCCCCCAATCCAAGAGAATTTAATGATTTCAGGGGAAACTGCAGCCAGGTCTACAAATTATTTTTTGTTGTTAAGTGCTGTCCATCGGTTCCGACTCATAGTGACACTGTATAGGGTTTCCAAGGAGCGGCTCGTGAGTCTGAACCGCCGACGTTGTGGTTCAAACCTACCTTGTGGTCCAGTGCCTTATCCCAGGACTCCTTAGGTCTCCATGAGTAGGAACCGGCTCAATGACATATATATATATATATATTAAATATATAGACTTCAAAAAGTCTGTGGGAAAAATCCATTATCTTTCAATTTTCCACAAATTTTTTGAAGTCCCCTTGTGTGTGTATAAAATATACATATATTCTTTCAGTAGATCATATGTATATTCTATATATATTATTTTTTAGGTTTTCTATATATGTATGATTTACTGAGAAAGAATATATATATGTGTGTGTGTGTATATATGATCTATTCCTGTCTTTATTTTCAAAAGTAATTTCAAGAGCACCGTGCAGTTGATATCTTTGCAGGAGATTGGTAGACCTACTGCTAAATGGAGTACCTTCTGACCTAATATTAACCTCAAAAAGCTAGTAATGAACTTTGTGATATCAGAGGGAACCTTTCCACAATAACCTCAAAAAGACTGCACAAATTCACTGCTATTTCAATGCTTCAAAGGATCTAAGAAATCTATGCAATTCTGATGAGAATTCACTGTAAATCATTTATGCACAATGATTTCCTGCAGTGCCCAAGTGGGCCCCCAAAAGAAAGGTTTATGGAGCTCTCTTCAAATAGCTCCAAAATTAAATAACAGTCTATTCAACAGCTACTTCTGCTTTCCAAGTTTTACCTTTGTTTTAAAAAGAAAAATCCTGAAGTATATATAATAACACTGGGGCTGGCAGCTTTTCCAATCCATCAAGGGGATGATAAGATCCAAAGTGAACCAGGTGCCATCGAGCTGAGTAAAAGTCATGGCGATGTCACATGTAGAACTGCTCCAGAGAGTTTTCTTGGCTGTAATTTTTTCTGCAGCTGTTAGTCAGGCCTGTCTTCCATGGGCATTGCTGGGTGGTCTCAAACTGCCCATCTTTAAGTCAGTAGTCAATTGCAAACTGCTTACGCCACCCCAGGCTCCTATGGGAATGATGAACAATTCTAAACTGAAACTGACTTTAAAGTTGACTGATGAAAATTGAAGACTGAGGAATTTGGGAAAGGGGAGGGATGGCAGGGGGCAGGAGAGATTTCAGAGTGGGTCCTGCTGGCTGCAAAATACACCCAGCTGGTGATATTTAAGCCCCAAGAGAACAAAGACCAGAAGCTCTGGGTGTTGTCGCTGGGCAGCCATTTCTCCTCTGTTTGTGACACTGTGGGTTAGGTGTTACCCTCCTAACCACAAGGCGGGTGGTTCAAATCCAACAAAACTCCTTGGGAAACAGATGAGGCTGTCTGCTCCCATAAAGATTTACGGTCTCAGAAACCCTATGGAGCAGTTGAACTCTGCAGTGGATTTGATTGGTGTGAGTTTCTTCAAGCACAGAGTTAAGATTTTCAGTGGGAGATACTTTACCAGCCTCTTACAGAACTAACAGTTTTTTAAAGTTGGCCATTTCTGCTTAAGGCTATGGTTCTAACCAGTAACCATCACTGAGCGTTGACTGGAAGTACTAACACCATACTGTTGTTGTTGTTAAGTGCCATCGAGTCGGTTCCGACCCATAGCGACTCTGTACAGGGTTTCCGAGGGTGTAAATCCTTACGGGAGTAGAAAGCCTCATCTTTCTCCCGCGGAGCGGCTGGTAGTTTCGAACCGCTGACCTTAAGGTTCACAGCCCGATTCGTAACCACTACACTACCAGAGCTCCTTAACACCATACTAGACACTGCGATATTCTTTCCTGTTAGCCAGAAGGAAACTTTCATGCAAAAAAAAAAAAAGGTACCATCTCCAGCCACAGCAAGCCCTGGTGAGACACTATCAAGGCAAAGATGTGAAATACATCTCTCTTGAGACCCAACATATTTGAAGCCCTTATTCATACATGTATTTCATTGTTACTTTACACCGTGCCTGGCTCCCAGCAGCTGAATGAATGGCTGCTACATAGTCCTGGCTTGCACCCTGGAAGGATGTTAAGCAAGCCTGCTGGTTACATTCCAAGGCTACCCCTTCGTAATCATAAATGGATCAGGCTCCCTTTTCAGATCCAACGCTTGTTGTTAAGTGCCATAGAGTTGGTTCCAACCCATAGCGACCCTGTATAGCATTTCTGAGGAGCGGCTGGTGAGCTTAAACCACCAGTCTTGCCGATCAAACCAACTTTGCAGCCCAGCACATTAACCCACAGCATTACAACAGCAATTACCACCAAAAAAAAAAAAGAAAGAAAAAATCTTCAAAATAAAGTGCAATTTGCTTTGGAAGTTTCTCCAACCTCTCAAACATGTGTTTTCACTAGTCATTTGAAGAATGGAAACTTGAGTTCCATTTCATTCTCATCAATTCTATTTGTGAATTAAGACGGATTTTCCTTTCCTTTCCTTTTTAAATAGAGACAAAGGGGAACCAAGTACCTAGCAAGTAGCCAAAAAGCACTAGCTTCTTTTACATTTTGGAGCAAGAGAATGCAGTGTCTGAAGAACTTACAGTGGGAGCTTTCTCTTGCAGCTAGCTGATGCTTCCTCTACCAGATTCTACAGAATCATTACACCCAGCACAACGTTGGGACCAATTCTTAGGTGCTGCAGTTGGGTGTCTTTCCATAGCTTTCCCAGGACACCCAGGTGGGCGTGAGCAAAGTGACATAATGATAACAGCTTGACATTTAAGCCACCCACGCTTGTGGCTTCCTCCAAATTTCCCAGTACCTTTTTCAAGTTAGAGACTTTAACTGCCCTCCCCACACTCCATGCCGCCGGAAAGGTTTAAGGAGCAGTTCGCCAGATGAGGGTGTTGTCAGGGTTTATGGTTCATCTTCAGGGAATGCCTGGGTGCGCTGATTCCGGGGTGAAGGGCACCTGGCCAGGTAGCGCGGACCCCCGTAGGCCCGGAGAAGCTGGGGCAATCTTCGCCAAGTGGACAGCAACCGTACTGCTGCAAGCTCCCGAGCGCGCTGGTCGAAAGGTGCCAGTAGGTCGACAGGGTTGGCTTCACGCAGCACCTTAGGCAGAGGGCCCACCTCGGCGGCTGCTCCGCCAGGGCCCAGAACGCAGTGGAAGAGCGTGCGACGTTGAAGCAGGCAGTCCCTAAGAAATCGGACCACCTCCTCCAAGCGCTCGCCTAGATGCACCTCGTCCCAAGCGTGCGCCGGGAGCCCCTGGCCCAGTAGCACCGCCAGCAGCGCTGACTTGAGCACATAGGAGGACAGAATGCGCCCCCACTGGGTGGCAGCCGTCGGGTCCAGCCCGCGGGCGCCCAGGTCTCTAAGGGCCTTAAGCAACTGTAAGCACTTGAGGTAGCAGGCACCAGAAGGGGCCCGTTCCTGCAGCCAGCTCAGCAGTTTCTGCTCCTGGCGCGCTGTGTTCACGCCCCACAGCGCTTCGGGGTGCAAGCCTCCGGGAAGCTCCGACAAAGGCCCGGTGGACGACGGTGGCAGCGCGGGCGCCACGAGGAACACGCCGTCGCTCAGATGGACTGCAGGAATGAGACGCACAGCCATGGAAAGGCGGCAGCAGCCATAATCGGTGCGGCAAGGCAGGATGTGCAGGGTGGGCGGCTGTTCTAGGCCCCCCAGAGTTAGGCTGACCCGGCAGCGCTCCTCCAGACTGTAGCGCACAGCGGCCAAAGAGCGCTGCAAGTGCGACTGGAACCAGCGCAGCACCAGCGTGGCGGAGAGGTGTCGCCGCCCGCGCACGTCCACGCAGAAGCCGTCGGTGAAGGGTTTGCAGTCCCGGAGCCAGTTGCCGCCTGCAGGGCCCCCAGATGGCGCAGGCGGAATCTTGAGGGCACACAAGAAGCAGCCACGGAAAGCCGGGGCTAGCGCGGGCTCGGCGCCTAAGCTCCGCGGCTCCAGAGCCACCAGCGGCGGGAGGCGCAGCGGCACGAGCACGTCGAAGCCGTCGGGCCGGCGGATTTTATGCTGCTCGTAGGCGCTGCCCACTTGGATGAAGTCTCCGCGGAAAGCCAAGGCCAGAGCCCCACCGGGTATGGGGCCTGGGGACGTCCGGGCGCGACCAGCCCTCACCAGTACGCCCACGATCCGGCTGACGTGAGCCTTGCTGTGGCCCAGCACGTGTGGCGACAGGCGCACTTCGTGCTCGTAGAAACTCTCCAGCAAGATGCCAAGGCCTGGTTCTCTGAAGGGCCTTGGGGACAAGGCGGGGTGGCCAGCCAAGCGGGGGGGCCGAGGCAGGAAGCGCTGGCGGACAGCGTGGCGGCAGCGCAGCAGGACGTAACCCAGAAGCAGCAAGACCGCTGCCTTGAGCACCGAGAAGTCACAGTCCGCGCCGTCGGGGGGCTCGGTCGGGGCGCCCCCGCTTCCACGCAGGATGTGGTAGAGGCACACGAGGGCGGTGCACAGGCCGGTTACCAGGGGCCAGAAGACCCGCAGATTCAGGGTGTAGTGAACGGACATGCTGGGCGCCCGGGGCAGCGGCGGCTGAGCAGCCCAGGGCGCGAGCCCCGGCTGCGCCCCCGGCCCAGCATGCGCGCAGCGCCCGAGCGCCCCTGGTGGCGCCGGCACCGGCTCCTTCACCTCGGCAGCCGCCTTCGCCTTGCAGGGCCCGGGGAAGCCGCTCTCCAGCTCGGCCTCCACTCCCAACTCAAGTTTTCTTTCCAGTTGCGGCCCGCCCTGTACTCCGCCTGAGCGCTGTGTCCGGCCCGGCAGCCCTCCCCGCCCGGCGGCCCGGCGCGCTGCCCTCAGCCAGCTTCTGTCCCGAGCCGGCCCGCCGCCTACCCTGAGCGCCCCTCCTGACTCGGACCCCGGCCTCTCCGCCACTCCGCTCCTCGTTCTTTCCCGTTACACGGGCTCCGGAGTTTCCTCTTCCTTGGAGAGGCGAGGCCGCGCCAACTAGCGGAGAGGAAATGCCGAAGTCTGGAGCCGAGGAGTAGAGCAGGCGGGCGGGGTGGGCCCGCTCCTTAGCCTCCGCCTTAAAGCTACGCGAGCGGCGGGAGGGACTTCAGGGCGCTCTTGGCACTGGCCTCTCGCGGGCCACCCCAGCCTCCCTTCCCTAAGGCAGACGGGGAAGGCTAGGGTTCCGGGGCGGTGGCCAGTCCAGGGCGCCTCTGTAGAGCGACGTGAAGTTAGTTATGAAGGGGAAGAGAAAATGTTCGCATCCTGGCTGCCGCCACCAACTCCACCTCCCCTTCCCCCTACCCCCGCCAACAAATCGTAGTGGCGTATCAGGCCCTAGGACAATAGTGGCCCCTGAGGCGTGCTGGCGTCATTTATCCAAGCCAGTATTTATTGAACACCTACAGTGTACCAGGCAGAAGTTAGGAGCTGGGGAAATAACAGAATTAACAACACATACTAGGTAACCTCCCCTTTCGGGGTGCTTTGGCCTTAGCTAGGAGCTCTGTTGTGGCGCTGTAAGATCGGCGGTTCAAACCTGCCAACCATTCTTCAGAAACCCTATCAGGGCCTCTCTGAGTTAGAACCCACTTAAGGCACTTAACAACACGACCTGAGTTAAAAAGAGAAGAAAAGAAGCCCAAAAAGAAAGGATTAGATATGGGGAAGATGCCCTGAAAGAAACAAACCTGCTATGATGGCTGGCAAGGGATTAAGTGGAAGCAGCTTCTCATTCAGAAGTGTATGGGATGGGGGAGGGGGGAGTGAGGAGAGGAGGGGAAGGCATTCGGAGGGTGACAAGACCTGGAAGAGGAAGGGCCAACCTTGGGACACTGATGACATTCCTTACAAGCACCACTCATCATTTTTTTGCAAACTAATTCGTTAATCACTTTAACTGCAGGAAAACAGACACTACTACCCACCAATTTTTAATGTGAGGAAAGTGGGGGACAGGCAAGTTTAGCTGCTTGCTTAAGGTCACACAGCCGTGGTAGAACTGAGCTTTGAACCCTAGTACCTGGCTTCTAAGGTGCTCTGGTAGCATAGTGGTTACGAATCTGGCTGCAAACCTTAAGGTCAGCGGTTCGAAACTACCGGTCGCTCCGCGGGAGAAAGATAAGGCTTTCTACTCCTGTAAAGATTTACACCCTCAAAAACCCTGTACAGGGTCGCTATGGGTCGGAACCGACTCGACGGCACTTAACAACAACAATCAGTCTTCTGGCAGAGAGGCTGAACTCCCAGGAAATAGGACCAAGGAAATGCCCCTTCCCCTGTTGTCTAGGGTCTGCAGTGGGACCTGAACCCAGGAAGCCTGTTTTGTTTCCTTCTTAATATGAAATGAGCACTGTCTGAAATCATCTGGATGGATTTACAGAGGCCACTCAGTTGCACCTTCCTTGTTTGCTCCACCATTGAAAGAGAGCAAAGGTAAATGCATGAAAAAAAGTCAAACCCAAATGCCTGACTCAGAGGGCAGCTTCTGGATTAAGCTACAGAATACTCCCAGGACATCGTGGATTGAGCCTGTTAGAGATCTGCTTTCAGATCCCATCTCTGCTACTATTAGCTATGAGCCCATAGTCCGTTCTTCAGGATACTTTGGGTGACAGAAACACAGCTCAAATTGGCTTATTAAGTAAGAATGGAATTTATTGTCTCATGTTAACTGAGAAGCGCATGGGGAGCCAACTTTTAAATACAGTTAGATTGAGGTGCTCAAATAAGTAAGCACCTGTGATAAGATTCATATGATTCAATAGTAATTGTTATCATGACTAACTGCGACTGTCACAATTGTAAAGGTAGAAGTTTTGTAACAAAAATGGGTGATAAGTTAATCTTACAGTCCAGAAACTACCAGTGGTTCCGCGGGAGAAAGACGAGGCGTTCTGATCCCGTAAAGATTTACAGCCTCGGAAACCCTGTGCAGGGTCACTATGAGTTGGAACCGACTCCATGGTACTTAACAACAACAACAACAGTCCAGAAACAGAGGACCCTAGGACCATCAAGGGAGAAGAGCACAAGCGGAATGCAGGGCCACACCTGAGATGGAGGCAGAGATGGGAACATGGAGAGAGGGAGCAGTTGAGGACTCTAGATTCATGGAAAGAGAGGGACTGAAAGCTGGTGGCCAGGAGGCAGACATGCAGAATGTGCCCTTTGGTGATGTAAATTATTATATATGCCTGTTTTTTTTTTTTTTTTAAAGCTAAAATGAATAGAAATACTGTTTTCTGATGGTACACAGAGGGGATTATAATCATTGTAATGAAACACGGTGTATGATTTATGTAAAATTGATGATCTGCCCTGTAAAGTTTGACTCAATTCACAATAAAAACTTTTAAAAAGATAAAGATAAACACCTGTTTCCCTCCACTCTTCAGCTCTGCTTTCCTATTGCTGTCTAGTAGCAGCAGCCGTGTTCTAACTTCATAGGGTATAAGAATCACCATCAGCACTGAACTCATTCCTGTGAGGTGGAGCTCAGACATACCTCCACCCTCCAACTTTTTTGCCAATAGCGATACCTCATCCTACCCTACATACAAACTCCCCATGTACTTCTCAGTTAACGTGAGACAAATCTCCATGTCCCCATCTCTGCCTCCATCTCTGGATAAGGTCCCACATTCTGTTTGTGCTCTTCTCCCTTGATGGTCCTAGGGTCCTCTGTTTCTGGACTGTAAGATTAACTACTCCCCCATTTTTGTTACAAAACTTCTACCTTTACAATTGTGACAGTCGCAGTTAGTCATGGTAACAATTACTATTGAATCTTAAGAATCTTATCACAGGTGTTTATTTGAGCACCTAGATCGAACTGTATTTAAAAGTTGGCTCCCCATGCACTTTTCAGTTAATGTGAGACAATAAATTCCACTTTTACTTAATAAGCCACATTCTCGATTTCTCTGCTGGGTTTGTTGCAGCGGCCACACGGAACTCAAAGACAATACTGAAAATTATGTGGTTAATTAGGGAAGTAACTCAGGAGACAGAAGGCAGTTCTTCTGTCAGGACAGCTTCCAAACAAGATAGCTCTCAACTTCTCTCCTGTGCCTACTGCCAGCCCTTCTCTTGGCCTCTGCCCTACTCAGGCAAGTTCTTTAGTTCCCCCCAACAAGTGCACAGAGGCACCCCTCTCTACCAGCAAGCTTCCTGTTTGAAGGTGCTCAGTTCTTTCTAACTCCATTGGTTGCAAGACCACTGCAGCTGCCTCTCATGGGTCTCCTGGCTCCCAGGCTCTAGCAGCTGCTGCTCATGTTACCGCATTGTCCGGTGCCACTTCACAGCCCTCATTGTCACCACTCTTACACCTGGACAGAGGTCTCTTAGGTTCTTAGCACTGGAACCCCAGGTCTAAAGAACACACTCCACTGCAGGCTCTTTTTGATGGTGGTGAGGGCCCCCCTCAACTTCTGTGGGATTGGCCTTGATGTCAGTGTGCTGTTGTGGTTGTTAGGTGTCATGGAGTCAGTTACAACTCATAGAGAAGGAAACACTGCCCAGTCCTGTGGCTAACTCACAATCCTTCTTATATTGGAGCCTGTTGGTGCAGCCACACTATTACTCCATCACATTGAGGGTCTTCCTCTTTTTTTCCAACTGCTGTAGGATAAGCACAGGACTACTAACTGCAAGATTGGTGGTTCAAACTCACCAGCTATTACTCAGAAACCCTACACTGGGCCAATCTGATTTGGAACCAACGCCAGCACTTAACAACTACTACTTTACCAAGCATGATGGTCTTCTCCAGGGACGAGGCCCTCCTGATAACATATCCAAAATACAGGAGATAAAGTCTCAACAACCTGACTTCTAAGCAGCAATTTGGCTATACTTCTTCCAAGACAGATTTGCTTTTTTTTTTTTTTGACAATTTATGGTATATTCGATATGTAAGGGTACCCTTTGTCAATTTCAAGTCAAGTTCCTCCTACCAGTATCATGAAGTAACCAATCCCCTCAGTAGGCCACAGTCATTTAATTTGCATAATAGTCAACTGATTCCACACAAGGTCATTTAATCCTGGTGGATGGTTTTACACAATCCCTTACAAGATTGTGGTGCAGTAAATCATCTTGGCAGAGCTACAAGCACAGGACCAGAACGGCCACATGTAAGAGAAGCCACTGCACATCGGAATGGGCTTTCCGCTCTCTATAGGAGAGCTGCTGTTCTGGTCTCAGTGAAGAAGAAACGTGAGTGCTGCACTAAACGCCCAGGGATCGCCTTGCGTTCTGTACTCAGACCAAGCAGGCAAATGCACTGGGGCTGGCCTGGACCCAGAAGGGGGTATCATCGCCATAAAAATTGTAGGATAGCGGTATCTTGGAGGAAATGGGAGAGTCTTCTAAGGAAAGTCATAGTGTCGTGGCGTGAAATGGGGGTGGCGGTGTTATGGCATGTGGGCACAACATGTGACCACATTTGGATAAACCGCTTAACGTCCTTTTGCTTTAATTTTTCCATTGATAATATGTTGTTGTTGTTGTTGTTAGGTGCCATTAAGTTGGTACTGACTCATAGCGACCCTATGCACAGC